ACTCTTTGGTAACTTCCTCTATGGAGCCGGTAATGTGTTGTCTTCCCGGTTAATCGAGGCAATGAAATTCCGCTTTGTTTGCTTTTTTACCAAGCCATGATAGAACTTGGTGCATTTATCACCCTTTATTTGAAAGTTGCATTTGGCCTTTTGTTGATAAAAGTGCTTCTCCGCTTTGGCCAATTTAAGAGCTTCGAGTCTAAGCGTGGGCATCTTGGCCTTGGTTTCGGGGTTGTCGAGTTGATCATGGAGCTCTTGTTGCGCAATCTTTAGGGCATTCTTTGCTTCTTTGGCCCGGGAGGAGATATGTGAGAAGGCCTCCTCGTTAAGAGCCTTACGCGAACTCTTAAGATTCTTCAAATTAGCCGCGAGATGGAATTGCCTCGAGCCCCCGCCGCCATGATTCCAATTGTGTTGAACCATCGGCAAGAACTTCTCATGCGCCGTCCATATGTTAAAGAATCGCCATAGTGACCCGGTGGTGTTCCTCGCCTCAAATATAGTGACTATGCACGGAGAGTGGTCCGAAATACCCGGAGTGAGGAAGGTCGCATGTGAGAATAGATCAGCATTCTCCCATTGAGTATCCACCATTGCCCTATCTAACTTCGACCAAACATGATTGTTGGTCCACGTGTAAAAGAAGCCACTAGAGGGGATGTCCGACAATTCCAAGTCACCACAAACTTCCAAGAGGTCCATAGTGTCCCTATTAGTGACCCTTTCACCCTTAATTCTCTTTTCCGGTTTGAGGACGGCATTGAAGTCCTCGAGGAACAATTTCCGGTCTCCTCTCGAGTGAAGTCCACAAATAAAGCTAGCAATAAATGTGTGGTTGCTAACCTTACAATGGATCCTTACGAATATGACTTGAGGTAGGGCGGTCTCCATCGTGATGTCCACCTTCATGGGGTTCCATAGGATAGCGATGCGACTACGATCAATGACATCAAAATTCTCACAAAAAGCCCAACCCCGCAACCTTCTATTCATAAAGAGAGAAAGCCGTCTAGTGTCGGTTTTCGTTTCCAAAAGTCCCAAGACATCAATGTTGTTTCTCCGGATGAATTTTACCACCTCATCTTGTTTTAGGGGCCCGTTAAAGCCCCTAATGTTCCATGAGGCGATAATCATTGGGAAGAGGTAGGGTGGCCCCCCTTCTTCACCGGACCTTTCACCATGTCTCTCCTTCCGCTTGTTTTGTCTCTTAGTTTGGATTGTTGACCCGGAGTTACGACGGCTAGGCTCGCGGCTCCACTTCGGGTGAGAATCTTGTTGTATTTCCCTATCACTTGGAAGGAATCCTCATTGTCCGGAGGAGGGGTCTCAATATTTTGGGGTTCCGAGTCCCCGGATGGAGAAGAGGAGGAACCGACATCCAATGTAGTGGCCACCACCTCTTTTCTCTTTTCCCTATCCCCATTCTCCTCTTTCAATTCATCTCTTTTCTTTTGTTGTTTCTCCACATTTCCCATCATCTTGGGTTCATGATTCTCTCCTTGCCCTTTGTTGGTGCCTCCACCCTTATTGTTTTGTTGCTCTTGTTGTTTCGTTTGGTGTTCTACCGGTTTCTTGGCAGTCCCCGTTTCCTCGCCTTGTCGAACCGGTTTCTTGCCTTTGGTCTTTTCCCCGAGGTGGGCTTTGTATTTCCCACAATTGGAGGTAGAGTGTCCAATAAATTTGCAATGATTGCAATAGTGAGGGACGTACTCATACTCTACCTTTTGCTCGAACATTAGTTTCCCCTTGGATTTGACGGGAATGCTATAAACTCTTTCCTTGGAGAGGTCGAGCTCCACCAAAATCCGAGCTTAGTTGCATCGGTCCCTCGTAGCCGTGAGCTTGTCGGTTGTGATGGGTCTACCAACGGAGGAGGCTATCTTGCTAAGGGCATTTGTGCTCCAACATTCCCATGAGAGAAAGGAGAGGTTGATCAAACGGGCACGATTTTGATGTCATCCTCGCCAAATTGAAACCAATTGGGGAGCATTTTGAGTATGAGCCCTCGGTCGTAGGTGGAGTAGGGCCCCCCCTTGGAGAACCTTCTCTCTATCCTCTTCGTTTTTAAACTTGAAGACTATCCATCCATTCACATTGGGGATGTATTCATATTGGACTTCTCATGAGTTACATAGCTTCAACAATGCTTCCTTACCCGGTGCCTTTGGGTGAAGTACCCTATAAGGCAAAAGCCCCACGTGCTCGTAACGTCCAATAGGTCATCATCATCTAGGTCCACTCCATTATCCGATGGGATATAGTTTAGTTTGAGTCCTTGAGAGGCCTTGCGGTTGTCGGCAAAGAGAGCCGAGAATGACCTCTTTCGTGAGTCGGGATTGCATTGTGTCATTTTGTCAAACACATGGTGGGCGGTTTTTGAAGGTTGGGCTTTGGCATGGTTTTGCTTCATATCTTGGCCAACATGTTTCTCAACAACTATAGGCTCATTAATAGCCTCATTCACATCATCATTAGCAACGAAATTCGCATTGATATCATCATTAGTTCCATCCTTAGTCTTTGTGCTTTCCACTTCCATTCTCATTTCTCCCATGGATAGTTGCTCTTCACCGTGTCCTCATGGGAGATGTCATCGAGATCATTGGAATGGCCGGAGCATTCTTCCTCGGTCAATTTCCGGTACTTGAGCTTCTTCTTTGATTTACCCATGAATATAGGTTGTGCAAGGAAGCTGTATTAACTGTAGCAACCAGTGCACGAGCTAATTCATGGCCAAAGGTTTGAATAAATAACATAATTCGTGAGTGGATATTTTTGTAGAGAAATCAAAGAAAAAATCAAGAAAAATAAGCTCAAAAGGATCGGGCCCTAAGATGCAAAAGTGTATCTTAGTGAGAGATGGTACAACTTCTCTCTAACCCTCTCAAATTGTCTCTTTCAATTTGTCTTGGACATTTGACTTGGTTCACTTGGTTGTAATTAGGTTTTGTTAATTTTAGGATTTCTTATAATTTATTGGAATTTTTTATATGTGAAGTTGATGACATTTGGTGTTGATTGGTTAGCTATAATACCATTGTGGTGTGTAATGGTTAAACCCTAAGGATGTAGACAATGTGTTCGATGAAATTCCAAAGAGATAACTTAGTAAAAGTTCAAGTATGTAACATTCGAAAATTAAAAAAAAAATAATAATATACATTCATGTATATTGTGTTTTTTTTGCTACAATGTTGTTGATGTATTATACTATTTTTCTTTTTTTTTTTTGTTAGGTTTTTTCAATGGCTAGTAGTTCCGCATCAAAAAGTACTCCGTGTGATTCCCGGACATCCACCGAGGCCGAGAATGATTCTCAAGTATTTAAAAGAAAAAGTCGGATGACATAGGTTGGAACTATGGTATACTAGCCGATACATATATCAAAGATAGAGTGAAATGCTTGTTATGTGGTAAAGTTATGTCGGGTGGTATTCGTAGATTGAAAGAGCATATTGGTCAAATTTCCGGGAATGTTGTTTCACGTAGAAAAGCAACAAAAGAAGATCAAGCTAAATGTAGAAATGCCATCAATGAGTCCAAGTCCAAGAAGATGAAGACAAAAGAACTTCAAGAAGGAACATTAAAGGGTTGAATATTGAGTCCTGTCAACAATGCGAAAAAGCAAAAGAATCACACTCTCTTGGCCCAATGGATAGATTTGCTACAATAATCAACCCGGAGGCATCATTGAACGTGGCAAAGACGATGCGGGAACAAAACATTAATGATGCTATTTGGAAAGAACGATCCAACTTGGTGAAAGATTATTTTGTCGATTGGGCTTATGAAGCG